TATCATAGTGTTTGCCAATTACATGTATAACTTTATATATATATATATATATATGCAATAATTTCAAGTTATCAGGTAGATCTTTTCTCTCACCCATGAAATGTTTAAAACTCAGGACAGACAAATCAGGTGATTATAGAGCAACATGCAGGTGAAAATATGATCTGCTTTTGCAAGGAAATATGTGAATGTGAAAAAAGTTAAAAGTGGCAATGGAAGAAAATCTTCAGTCATGGTAATGGAGGGTCAATCAAACCAAATACTCATAAAAATCTACACAGCAACAACATCAATCTTAAGCCTAATCAACATTTTTAAACCATGGAATCCCCTCAAGGGGTTCATTTTTTATGGGTTGTAATTTTATTTTATTACAATAAATTAAAAGAATTATACATTTGATCAAGTACTTCATAGTTTTAAAAATAAAAAAAAAATTAACACTTGCAACATAATAAGAAAAGCTATCATCAAAAATTTAATGGTCATATATTAAATATTAAAACTAAATATTTTTTCTGAATCTTAATACCTGTGTAACTCTCAATGGCAAGATAAAATAGGTTATTCTAAGGGAGCACTTTTATAGTTCTGTATTGTTAGAGACCAAGACAAAATTTTAATCTCAAATAATTAGCATTTGAATTTATAAACCCCAATTCAGGACATGATTACAATTGCCAAAGACTATGATGGGATGACAGTAAGGTCTAGATTGTCATGTTGGCAATGACTTGCAGCATTGCAACCAAGGATTTTGCAAAGCCCAATCCGAGTTCAATATTCTGTTTCCAAGACACCATCAATGAGCCCGAACTCCATAGCCTGTGAGAGGAAAATAGCACAGTGGTTATTCTTTTCTTTCATTTATTGAAAGCTTTCAATGCCTGCACATTTTAAAAACATAAAGATACCACTGTATCAGGCCCTTAAGAAGGAAAAATCAATTTGACCATGATTGTCCTCTTTTCCTCCTACTTGTAAGAAGCAAGAAGAAAGGAAAAAAGAACAGGCCTCTGCCAGGTTTATAGCATATAAAGACACCGAGTACCATTTTCTCATGAGTTTAACATATAGTAAATTACACCGGTGATCTCTAAAATTTGAGACCTATACTATTTTGGTCTTCATAGTTTAGAAAGTAACTTTCAATCATTTCTATACTTTCAATATTATGAAGATATATGATCACTCTATTAGTGTTTCCATTAAGTTCCACATGTATATTAATTATTTATTTAATTTTAATTCAAAAAATTATATTATATTAAAATAGCAAAATTAAAAATAAAAAATAATAAAATTATTTATTTTAAATTAAAATATTTCATAAAATATATCTTACGTTGGACATATTATTTATTTTGTCTCTCCCTTTTCTTTTTCTCTTTCTTCTCTCTTCTCTCCCCTGCAGCCAACTACAACAGAGCCGAATCTTGCCAAGTTGACACTGCAATGGTGTCTAGGCCAGATCCAACCCCGTGTTGCCCACTGGCTCCTGGCAGGTGCCGGAGAGAGATAGAGGGGGGAGGGGAGAAGAGAGAAGAAAGA